ATTTATATAATGATAGGGGGGGGTGGGAAACTTGGGTTTTTTTTTTTTTTTTTTTTTTTTTTTTTTTTTTTTTTTTTAAATTGTGGGGGAGAAAAATTGATGGGGTGGGTTTTGTTGGGTGGGGGGGACTGGGGTTTTTTTTTTATGGGGTGGGAATGAATGGGTGGTGTTGGGGGGTGACTGGTTATGGTGGGGAATGAAAATTGGTGGTTTTGTGGTGACTGGTTTTTTATGGGGTGGGAAATGAATGGCGTGGTGGGGGTGACTGCGTTTTATGGTGGGAAATGTGGTGGGGTTGTGGTGACTGCTTATGATGGGGAATGAATGGTGGTGTGGTGACTGGTTAATGGTGGGAATGATGGTGGTGGTGTGGTGACTGGTTATGGTGGGAATGATGGTGGTGTGGTGACTGGTTATGGTGGGAATGATGGTGGTGTGGTGACTGGTTATGGTGGGAATGATGGTGGTGTGGTGACTGGGTTGATGGTTGTGGTGACTGGTTATGGTTGATGGTGGTGTGGTGATGGGTGGGAATGATGGTGGTGTGGTGACTGGTTATGGTGGGAATGATGGTGTTGTGGTGACTGGTTTATGGTGGGGAATGATGGTGGGTGTGGTGACTGGTTATGGTGGGAATGATGGTGGTGTGGTGACTGGTTATGGTGGGAATGATGTGGTGTGGTGACTGGTTATGGTGGGAATGATGGTGGTGTGGTGACTGGGTGGGAATGGGTGGTGTGGTGACTGGTTATGGTGGGAATGATGGTGGTGTGGTGACTGGTTATGGTGGGAATGATGGTGGTGTGGTGTGGTGATACTGTTATGGTGGGAATGATGGTGGTGTGGTGACTGGTTATGGTGGGAATGATGGTGGTGTGGGTGACTGGTTATGGTGGGAATGATGGTGGTGTGGTGACTGGTTATGGTGGGAATGATGGTGGTGTGGTGACTGGTTATGGTGGAATGATGGTGGTGTGGTGACTGGTTATGGTGGGAATGGTGGTGTGGTGACTGGTTATGGTGGGAATGATGGTGTTGTGGTGACTGGTTATGGTGGGAATGATGGTGGTGTGGTGACTGGTTATGGTGGGATGGGTGTGTGGTGACTGGTTATGGTGGGAATGATGGTGGTGTGGTGACTGGTTATGGTGGGAATGATGGTGGTGTGGTGACTGTTATGGTGGGAATGATGGTGGTGTGTGACTGGTTATGGTGGGAATGATGGTGGTGGTGGTGACTGGTATGGTGGGAATGATGGTGGTGTGGTGACTGGTTATGGTGGGAATGATGGTGGTGTGGTGACTGGTTATGGTGGGAATGATGGTGGTGTGGTGACTGGTTATGGTGGGAAATGATGGTGGTGTGGTGACTGGTTATGGTGGGAATGATGGTGTTGTGGTGACTGGTTATGGTGGGAATGATGGTGGTGTGGTGACTGGGTGGGAATGATGGTGGTGTGGTGACTGGTTATGGTGGGAATGATGGTGGTGTGGTGACTGCTGGTTATGGTGGGAATGATGGTGGTGTGGTGACTGGTTATGGTGGAATGATGGTGGTGTGGGATGGTGGTGGGAATGATGGTGTGTGGTGACTGGTTATGGTGGGAATGATGGTGGTGTGGTGAATGGTGGATGGGTGGTGTGGGTGACTGGTTATGGTGGGAATGATGGTGGTGTGGTGACTGGTTATGGTGGGAATGATGGTGGTGTGGTGACTGTTATGGTGGGAATGATGGTGTGGTGACTGGTTATGGTGAATGATGGTGACTGGTTATGGTGGGAATGATGGTGGTGTGGTGACTGGTTATGGTGGGAATGATGCTGTTATGGTGGGAATGATGGTGGTGTGGTGACTGGTTATGGTGGGAATGATGGTGGTGGTGACTGGTTATGGTGGGAATGATGGTGGTGTGGTGACTGGTTTGGTGGGAATGATGGTGGTGTGGTGACTGGACTGGTATGGTTATGGTGGGAATGATGGTGGTGTGGTGACTTATGGTTGATGGTGGTGTGGTGTGGTTATGGTGGGACATGTGGTGGGACACTGGTTATGAATGATGGCTATGGTGGGAATGATGGTGGTGTGGTGACTGGTTATGGTGTGATGGTGGTGTGGTGACTGGTTATGGTGGGAATGATGGTGGTGTGGTGACTGGTTATGAATGATGCTGGTTATGGTGGCAATGGTGGTAGTTATGATGATAAGGGGGTTATGGTGATACTAACGCAATGATAACGTAATGGTACTGGAAAATGGTAAGGATGGTAACGATACTGACACTGATGATGACAAACATAATCATAACAAAAGACAAAAAAAGAAAAAAAAATACAAACTAATTCCAACAAAAAGGAAGCACAAAAAAACAGCAGAACAAATCAAACCAAAAAACAAAACCCATTAATATCGAGACCCAATACCCCCCCCCCCCCCCCCCTTAAAAAAAGAAGAAAAAAAAAACCTTACGCAGGACAAAGTTGGGCAGGAAGAGGCCCGACCCGAAGGCGGCCACGAAGAACCTCAGGGTGATGAATAGCTCGTAGTGCCTGACGAAGGTGACGGCCACGGAGGACACCAGCATACCGACGGCGCTCACGAGGGAGATGGTGCGGCGGCCGTACCGGCGCAGTGAGAGAGATCGTGGATGGGGTCGGGAAGGAGAGACAGTGAGAGAGATAAATGGATTTGATAAATGAATGAATAGATGGACAGTGGATGGGGTCGTGAGAGAGAGAAATGGACAGTGGATGGGGTCGGGGAGACACAGTGAGAGAGATGGATTTGATAAATGAATGAATAGATGGACAGTGGATGGGGTCGGGAAGGATGAGAGAGAGAAATGGATTTGATAAATGAATGAATAGATGGACAGTGGATGGGGTCGGGAAGGAGACACAGTGAGAGAGAGAAATGGATTTGATAAATGAATGAATAGATGGACAGTGGATGGGGTCGGGAAGGAGAGACAGTGAGAGAGAAATGGATTTGATAAATGAATGAATAGATGGACAGTGGATGGGGTCGGGAAGGAGAGACAGTGAGAGAGATAAATGGATTTGATAAATGAATGAATAGATGGACAGTGGATGGGGTCGGGAAGGAGACACAGTGAGAGAGATAAATGGATTTGATAAATGAATGAATAGATGGACAGTGGATGGGGTCGGGAGGTAGAGACAGTGAGAGATAAGTGGATGTGTTGATAAATTAATGAATAGATGAACAAATATATATTCATAGGTGAATATATGTGTGTATGCATATATCTATGTATATGAATACATACAAGATATATATATATATATATATATATATATATATATATATATATATATATATATATATATGAATATCTATCTACCTATCTATATATCTTATATGTGTGTGTGTGTGTGTGTGTTTGTGTGTATATATATATATATATATATATATATATATATATATATATATATATATATATAGATATATATATATATATACATCTGTGTATATATGTCTATATATGTATATATATATATATATATATATATATATATATATATATATATATATATATATATATATATATATATATATAATACTGTGTGTGTGTGTGTGTGTGTGTGTGTGTGTGTGTGTGTGTGTGTGTGTGTGTGTGTGTGTGTGTGTGTGTGTGTGTGTGTGTGTGTGTGTGTGTGTGTGTGTGTGTGTGTGTGTGTGTGTGTGTGTGTGTGTGTGTGTGTGTGTGTGTGTGTGTGTGTGTGTGTGTGTGTGTGTGTGTGTGTGTGTGTGTGTGTGTGTGTGTGTGTGTGTGTGTGTGTGTGTGTGTGTGTATATATATATATATATATATATATATATATATATATATATATATATATATATATATATATATATATATATATATATGTATGTGTGTGTGTGTGTGTGTGTGTGTGTTTGTGTGTTGTGTGTATATATATATATATATATATATATATATATATATATATATATATATATATATATATATAAATGAATATTTGATAATGATTCATGATGACTAGAACTATGAGCGATGGATATAAAGATGATGATGAAAACTAACAGAAAAAAAAAAATCAACATAAATCATATAAGCCATACGCCCATCAAAAAAAAGAATCGTGATTTTGACAATAGTAATTCCAAAACCAAAACTTACTTGTCCGAAAGCTCACTGAGAACGACCGCCCCTGTCAACACTCCGGCCATGAAAGTTGACTGCACCGTCGACATGAGGTACTTGTTGTCGCACACGAGGTCCCACTGGCGAGGAAGGGGGGGCTGTTAGTCTGGCCTCTCGATAGATGTGTCTGTCTGTTCATCTATTGGATATACTGTGGATATGTGTATGTTGGCCTCTCGATAGATATGTCTATTCTATCTGTGGATTATGTGTATATCCGCTGTGGATACGTATGTGTGTAGCCTCTCTGTTACTAATGTGGCCTCTCCATACGCATGCTATGGTGTTTCATCTGCCTGTATATACGCTATACGTATGTGTATATATGTGTTTGTGGAGTGTTTATCTGTATTTATATGTATTTATCTATTTTCTATTTAGTTATTTATCGATCTATATCTATATCAATAATTGTTTATTTGTATATATATGGTAATAATGATGATAATGATGATAATAGCAAGGATAATAATGGTGATGATAATGATAGTGATAATGATTATGATGATGATGATAATGATGCCAACGAATAGTTTGTCTTGAATTAAAATGGGAGCCTTAGAAAAAAAAAAACAGAAACTAAAAAACTAAAAAATAATAAATAAAATGAAGCAAATATAACTATGACTAAGTAAACATACAAACCGCAAGCCATCGCAGGCCTTCGTTTAAAGCACGCACCGCAAGGCCGATCGGTATGCAAATGAACTGGCTAAATCGTGATTAAGTGTGCGAGGAATCTGTAGCCGAAGGGGAATTGGCGACCGTCTTGGTGAACTCATTCCTTGTGCGTCACTGTGTCGTGTGGTGGGGGGGGGGGGGGAGGGGGAGCGGGTATGTGGTTAGGGGTGGAGTGGGGGGAGGGGGTATGTGTTTGTGTCTGTGTGAATGTTTGAATAAGTATGTGTGTTTGTGTGTGTGTGTGTTTGTTTGTTTTGTTTGTGTGGTGTGTTTGTTTGTGTGTGTGTGTGTGTGTGTGTGTGTTTGTGTGTGTGTGTGTGTGTGTGTGTGTGTGTGTGCGTGCGCGCGTTCTCGTATGTTTAGGAAAATGATAATCATCATCATAATCATAAATGTTATCATTCTCAATATCAATATAATTTCTACCATCACCATTATCACCAAATTCAAAATCAAAATACTTTATTCCATTTGTTAAAAAGGCTGTTCACATTACATAAAAAATATCTTACAGTACATGTAAGTATAATTTAGACAGAATTAATGGTAGCACATAGAAGTCTTGCCTATTCTTATATTTGGAAACCCGATTGGTGATTTAAGAAATGTTTCTTTAATTCCTTTTTAAATATATTTGAGTTCTGAATGTTTCTAATAGCATAAGGCAGTGAGTCCCAGATCATAGATCCTCCACCAACAGCAACACCACCAAGTCTAACACCATCAAAGCTAACACCATCCACACCGCCACCACCACGCCACCAACACCATCGCCACCAACACCATCACCACTAACTTCAACAACACCATCGCCAACAACACCATCACCACCACCCACCACAACACGCCAGCAACCACACCACCACCACCACCAACACCATTCACAACACCATCACCGCACCACCACCACCACCACCATCACCACCACACCCACCAAAAAAAAACCCCACACAGCTGCATCATCACCTCTTCGACGACGGTGCTCTCGTAGACCGAGTGGTCGTAGGTCCACGCCCCGCAGGAAGCGACCGAGGCGTTCGCGGGGAGGTCCGGGGGGGAAGACCCGTTGAGGACCCCGCTGGCGAGCAAGGCCGGCCAGTCGCGGTCGTAGTAGGAGCATTTCGCGTATTTTCCTTCGCCGTCCTTCTCCTCTATCCTGTAGAAGAGAGAGAGGTAGATAGATAGGTAGATAGATAGATAGATAGATAGATAGATAGATAGATAGATAGATAGATAGATAGATAGATAGACAGACAGACAGACAGACAGACAGACAGACAGACAGACAGACAGACAGACAGACAGACAGACAGACAGACAGACAGACAGACAGACAGACAGACAGACAGACAGACAGACAGACAGATAAAGAAGATAGATAGATAGATAGATATATAGACAGACAGACAGGCAGACAGATAGAGAAGATAGATAGGTAGATAGATAGATAGATAGAGAGAGAGAGAGAGATGAAAAAAAAGATAAGGGTTACTGTATGATGTTTCCATGAGCGTGGGTGAGTGGAAATGGTGGTGATTGTGATGAAGGATGGTAATGGTGATTATAACAGCTATGATGACAATGGTGTTACTGAATATGGTGGTGAACAATAATCATACAAATGATGATGACAATGATATCAACAACAACTTTAATAATTGTATTGATGAAAAGGACTATAAATAACAGTATTGTGAGGATAATGGTAATGATAAAGATACTATTACTGATATAACAAGTATCGACAGCAGCAAAAATGAAAATAACATAAGCAAAAACTACCATCATCATCAACGTCATAATCATAAAAATAATGCTGTTTTGATTAAAAAAAAAACAACACCGGTGCTTCAACTCCCACCACCACCACCATTACTGCAACATCAGCGTCTACAGTAAAGATAAGAAAAATGAGATTGCCGTATATCTTATCTCCGACGGCTTTCAATCACACTGATTCCGAATCCCCGGACACCAAATCATCGTATTTTATCCGGACTTTTTACCCCGCCATCGGAGTCCTGGTTTCTAATCTGGTTTGTCTAGACCTTTTCAATCTCTCAATCAATCCTTTAGATTTCCTTTCAATCCATTTCGGTCTTTGTATATAATAAAGGGCATAAAAAAAAATAAAGAAACATCGGAAGAACTAAGAAATTGGATAAAGATTAATGCGCAGTGTATCTTGGAACCAGATTTTCTAGGAGCCTTCGAGGAGAAAACGGGTTTATGAGTTTATTATATTGTGAGACTTTCGTTCCGACCTTGCATGCCATGGACTTCATTTTAGGCTGTTTGTCCGAATTCTGATCTGCGTTGTGCTGTAGTCCACCAGAAAAATACATTAAAAAATACATTAAAACACATACACACACACACACACACATATATATATGTATATACATATATATGAATATATATCTTTATCTATATCTATATATGTTTATATATGTATACACACACACACACACTCATATATCTATGTATATATATATTTCACACACCCACCCACAAACACACACACACACACACACACACACACACACACACACACACACAACACACATACACACACATATATATATATATATATATATATATATATATATATAATATATATATATATATATATATATGTATATATACATATATAAATATATGTATACATATATATATGCATATTGTATAGATATGTATATATATAAATATATAATATATATACACATATATACGTATATTTATATATATACACACACATATATGTGTGTGTGTGTGTGTATGTATATATATATATATATATATATATATATATTATATATATATATATATATATAATATATATATATATATATCATCATCATCATTTCATCGGGGAGCTAACGCCGCATCCATCCTTCGTTTCCACCTACAAGCATCCCACGTAGGCAGGGACTCGGCCCATCTCGAGCTCCTCACGACAGGCCTGATTAATCTGCCGAAGCCACAACTTCCTAGGTCGTCCTACAGGCCTCCTCTGCCCGGGTTGTCGCAGTACAGGACACGTGGTCCCGCCAACTGTCCCCCTATGATCCGGTGAAAGGATTTGTCACAAAAGAATTAAGATGAGATTCCAATGCACAAGATAGCATCCAAGTTTCACTACCATATAGCAAAACTGGCAGTATGAGGCCTTGAAGACGAGTAGCTTGGTCCTTCGGCATAGTTACTGGCATGTCCAAATACTCTTCTTTGGAGTGCTGCCAGGACAATCCATCCACTGATTTCCTGATGTGACAGCCCAGAGTTATGTAAAGCTCACCAGGAGCACGTACAGACCGAACAGGTTCTCCTAGCAACCCCAACGTCCTGGATCTTGGTGTTGGTCTAGGAGACCTCTAGACCCAGGGGCTTCGCATCATTGCTAAATGCATGAAGAGCCTTCATTAGGATTTCCAGAGATTCAGATAGAATAGCAACATCATCAACAATGTCAAGGTCGGTAACCTTGATATTGCCTAGAGTTGCTCCACAATGACTTTGGACAGTAGCTCTGCCCAATATCCATGTGCTGAAAAGTACTGCAAGTGTTGAAAAGTATTGGTGCAAAGACACAGCCTTGCCTTAAACCTGAACTAACAGGAACGAAGCTCGACAGCCCTCCCCCCCCCACTCACAATTTACAGCACTTTCGGTACCAGTATACAGGCCTTCTATCAATCCAATAATCCTTGTTGGGATTCTCTCAGTCTTAGCATCTTCTAAAGTGATTCCCGTTTCACTGAATCAAACGCCCTCTTGAGGTTTATGTAAGCTGCAAGCAGCCCACGCTCTACAATGACTTGAAGTGCCAGGATACGGTATCTGGATGAATCCAGATTGCTCTGGCCTCTGGCGCCTCAGCAGATGGTCTCTGTTACGTCTCAGAAGAATGAGTGAGAACCTTGTCTAGTACACTAAGCAGTTTAATTTGGTTCAGTCCTATCGGTCCCCATGTGGGTCCCCATGTGGGATGACCACATCCCTCAGCATGTCAGGGGAAACAGTACCAGTCTGCCAGATGGCAGCCAAGACAGCATGCAAACCCAGTACTATAAGCTTATCAAAAGCCTTTACCAGTTCAGTTGGGATGCCACAGATAACCGCTGCTTTACCACTCTTCAGCTTGGAGATCGCCCTCCCTTACTTCAGTTCGGGTCTTAGGAGATTGAATCCTTACTGATGTATGGTTTCCGCAAAGTGATCTCGATACTAACTGCCTCCAAGTTAATTGTTGGTGGATCAACTTTGTAGAACTGCTCTAAACACACTGGCCAACGATCCTGCAACCAAACAGGATCTGAAATGATCTGGCCACTTAATTGAGCGAACTGCAGTCGCTTGTGAGGAGGGCATGGAGTTCAACTTTCTCAGGGCTTGATAGGCAGGATGAAGGTCATTTACTAAGTAATGGCCTCCTCTGCAAGACCCCTATTAAACTGTTCCTTGTCCATTCTCAACAGGGAACGATGCAAGTCACGATACCCCTGTCAGACAAGCCCTGCAACAAGCATCTGTGCCTTCCAGTGTCTCCTGCAAGACGATATTCTGTCCTGCTCTTGGGCGTCGCCTATTTATTCTTAAGCTGCATCGAGCGTTTCACTATTGAAGGTGTCCCGCAGCAGCACAGGGTACGTTAGATAGCCAGGTGCTGCAAAACGACCAGAGAGAGCCTCAGTAAACTCCCGGGCACACTCGCTCTCCCTCAGCCTCTCCACATGAAACACCCTAGAGTGATCATTAGACTGACGGGGAGTTTTGGAGTGGATTCGGAGGGAAGCCACAACTAATCGGCACTCCTTTACACCCTGCAGTTCTGAAGGATCCTCCAACGAGTGCTAACGAGAAGCGTTTGATCTCCTTGGCCACATTACCCGCATCGCTGTACCTCGTCCAACAGCGGAGGTCAGAGCACTGGTACCAAGAGCTGGGACCTAATATGTATATATATATATATATATATATATATATATATATATATATATATATATATATATATATATATATATATATAGGTGTGTGTGTGTGTGTGTGTGTGTGTGTGTGTGTGTGTGTGTGTGTGTGTGTGTGTGTGTGTGTACATAGATATAATGTATTTTAGAAATATTCATATGTATATATAAAACACACACACACACACACACACACACACACATATATTATATATATGTGTGTGTGTGTGTGTATGTATATATATATAGATGCACACACACAACACACACACACACACAAACATATGTATATATATATATATATATATATATATATATATATATATATATATATATATATATATATATACTCATTATGCATATGTAACATGCATACATACATACAACACACAAGCATTGTATGTGTTTAACCTTCATTCACATCTTCATCCCTTATCAGCTCAGTCTCATGTTACTATGCATCACTCTTATCGTTTATCAAAGATAGTATCTCTCTCTCTCTCTCTCTCTACGTTATAACCCATTTTTTTCTTATATGTTTTTTTCCCTCTTGAGACAAATCACTCGAACACACTTTCGCGATTGTTGATTAGAAAATTAAGAAAAACCGTGAAAATGGAATTCGATAGAATTCGTACAAAGGAGAAATCACATACAATAGAACTTTGAATTATATTAGATACGCAAGAAAAAGAGGAATATCTCACACAAATACATTCACAAATATATACACATAACACACACACACACACACACACACACACACACACACACACACACCACACACACACACACACACACACACCACACACACACACACACACACACACACACACACGCACACACGCACACACACACGCACACACAAACGGAATCCCAAAGAGACGCCACAAAACATGTTTCGAACACGTCTCCTGAGAAGGCTACTCACCAAGGGATCGAAACGTTACGTAGATCGTAGTCTGTCTGCAAACCATCGAGCTCGGTCACGTGACACCAGTGCTCGGGATTGGCTGCCAGGAACACTAAGGGGAAAAATAAATAAATAAATAGATAAATAAATAAATGAATAAATAAATAAACAAATTAATGTTAGACTGTGCTTGAGAGGAGGAACGGTAAGGACGATGATGATAATGATGATAGTGGTGTTAGTGTGATGATTATGATGATGACTATGACGATGATGAAGTAAAAAGGAATTCCAAGAAGCAGAGGTTAGATACTAAAAGCGAAAGATAAAATGATAAAAGGGAGAAATTAATGAGGTAAGAATTAGAAGCGAAAGACACGGCAAAAGCTAAAAAATGCCCAAGCAATAGAGACAATCATGTTTTCTTTGTTTTTCTTTTTTTTACACAGGAACATACGTTGAATCTTCATACGATACAT